GCAAGGTGTGGCCATATAATGGGTGTAACTATATTGGAAGCTCTGTGAAAAACAAAACACTCTCTAACAAAACAGTTATTATATACCAAATATGGTTATGTTCTAATAACCCACAACAGATTTTTATGGTCATCTGAAGGCTGTAGTTATCAAAATTAAAGCCTTTATTTGAATAGCGAACTGCTCAGCCTTGGAATGATAAAGTATACACTACTGATTACATTGTTTCCGATCTTCATTTGTAAGTCACTACTGTTCTTTGCAGCCAAAGGTTTAAGGAAAATAGCTTTAAAGATCATTTGATGGTAAAGATTATTTTTTCTTGCATAAAACTAAAAGTTTATTTGTAACTCTCCCTAAATTTAATGACATTTCTCAGACCTGGTATTACTGAATTTCATTTCCTTGTTACTGCAATTTACAGTCTGTTCCTCTTAAGGCAAGAAGTTACACTTTCACCCAGTGGAGCCACATTGAACTCTAGTCACAGTGGCTGAGGGTAGTAGTGCTCTGGCTTTGTGAGGAATCTGTGATCTGCAGCAGACACATTTGCCAGTGGGAAGAGAGGAAATATGTGTTGATTTCCTCTTTATTGTCCTCAGAGCAATAAAGCTAAATTACTACTATTATTTATAGGTTCCAGTCCATTGTGCATTTAAATGGCAGACCCTTATTGTTTGTTCCCTGGCTGGGAATCAAGTAAACACAGAGGTGTATTATGAGAGAATTATTGTAATCTGCATGCATATTATGCATGAATTCTTCAGACTTTATTGATCCATAGCTGGATCTTCGGCTATTCTCACACCACTTGCTCCGACATTTATTTTAGCTTCTTATACAAAGTCTGCTTCTTTTAGTCTCTTGGGGCCTATGACATTATTTCTTCAGACCAGTTATAACTGATTCTTTTTGCTGTGTGTCAGCCTCTTCCCTCTGATAAAGGTTTCCCTTTCATTTCTGCCTTATTTCTTATTTTTTCCGATCACCTATAATTCTACGCTCCTTGGTATTTTCTGCAATTACAATTATTTCTGTATATTTTTTGTATTCAGAGTCCAGGTTTTACGTTGGCAAGAAAATTCATTCAGCTCACTTTCCTTTTAAGGTAGATGGGCATTTTCTGCTTTAGGATATAATATAGCAAACCGCTGAATGGAGGGTATTTAGCCCTTCTTCCTAACACAGTGATTGTGATGTAGGAAGAGAGGCAGGAGACTGCAACTGCGGCATGGGTGTTCTAGTCACTGAGAGGAGGCTGAGGAAGGAGGGCGTAGAGAGAAGTAATGGGTACTGCATCACAGATTGGGGTGGCATGAAAAGAGAGTGGTAAAGGGGAAAGAGTCCCCCTTTTATAGAGGGAGGGAGAGGGGAAGGGAGCTTGCCAAAGGGGGAAAGAGGTCAAGGTTAAGAGGCTCCTTGAGATACAGTACCGCTACCGGAGCAGCATACTACACTATCAAATGGCCTTACACATTATACAGAAATACTGACAATAAAAAGAAGACATGATAATAAACATTATGGACAGTCGTGATTTTCACATACAGACTGAGGCATGCCGATATACATCTTGATTTGTGTTTGATAAATTATTTTCCACCCCTTTTGTTAAAATTAATAAGAATGCTGAAATCTGTAACATCTATCCATCCATTATCAGATAGCTGCTTATCCCTGGCAGGGGCTGGGGCAGCCCAGAGCCTAGCCTGGAAAGATAGGGAACACAGTGGAACAATATCCTGGACAGGACACCAGTCGCTGTGTCATCTTCTCCTTCACAGTGGTTATTGAAGAACAGGTTTAAACCGGACAATCTCAGGGCAAAATCTTCTTCAGAGGGCTTGATTAATCTGTTACCGCAAGAGCACGCAAAGATTTCACCTTTCACCATCCCTGCCAGTTTCATGCATGATTCAGCAACACCCTAAACATGCCTACCTACCAGAACCTTCCATGATAAATACGGAAATTCCTATTAACATTTTGTGCATATACTAATGACTTTAGTACAGTATATGCACAAAATGTATAGCTTTGCAGATACTGTAGGTAGTTAATATTGGCAGGGAGGGGTAAAGCTATGTGCAGAAATTCAAGAACTTCTTAAACCTTTAGAGTTAGAAGCAATAATTAAAACTAAAATTAAGAGGAATATAGCTAATGACCTCCTATTACATACATACAATCCTCAATCAATGCATCTTATAAATTAGTCTCATGCTAAAAAGACCCAGTCATCTTCTGAGTCACAGTTAGGTTCTCAAGCTCACAATATGCCTGAAAAGAACAATACAAAAAAAATATAAGAAGAAAAATATAAAACGTGAAGTTTGAAAAGGCATCATTCTCACTTTGCTGAATTCTGCTTCTAACCTTTCAGTGGGGTTACGCCCTGTTGTTTTGTCATTGATGATCAGAAGGAATTTGATGTGACTCATATTTAATGCTGTATTTTTTTGCTCATTTATAGTAAGCTCAGTTTTATCTATCTGTCTCTATCTTTACACATTCAGACTATCTTTACAGTCTGCAGACACTATCCATACAACATTCATTTAACCTATATATGCTACTGTATATGAGTGAACTTTGCTGACCTGTCACAGAAAGAGTTTCAATCATTCAGACAGATTGCAATAATATGCAATAAATATATTAGTCAATTCCCAACCTAAATATGACTCACATCCTCTGACAGGTGTGAATACCGCGTTTGCGTAAATCCCAGACTGTCACAATAAGCACTGAGTTCAAAGACAGACATGAACCATTCATGGTACAGACATTTCTAGCGGTGTTAATGTAGCTTGTATTTTAAATCTGTTTTTGTACTATAAAATCAAAACCTCTGAAGAGACTTAGGTAGGTAATATTCTCCTGTCAGTGTCAGGGAACTAAACAACCTTCAAAATGCTGATGGTCTTTTTTTCCCCTTTATTTTTTGTAAATAGAAATATACAGAAAAGAGTCAAGTATCATTGCAGTGAGAGAAGAACAATCATGAACCACACAACTTTATTTGATCCAAAATACTGTATGTGTTTCTCCTTCACAACACGACCAATTATTATATACTGTATATAAAGAAAATAACTGTGTATGTATCTATGCAATGGTCTGTATGACGTTTTTAGTCATTTAGTATTTTATTTAGTTTTAACATTTAAGATTTTGGGGGCAGAAAAAGACATGACATTGTGCTGTAGCTTGTCTAAACCGGACATCTTCACAAAGTTCTAAATCAGGGTTTATCAGTGAACCACAAGCCAGAGGGCACCAGTAGAAACTGAGAGGGAGAGCGTTTTCGACTGATTACAGGTGGCACTTCTCTACACAAAGGTTTGTTGAAGCAGCTGTCATTGTTTCTTTCAAGCAATAGCTGCATGAGCTCCTTGGATCACTTAGCAACTAAAAAGTAAACACTTTATACAGCATACATTATTTATTGTACATCACCGTGGATAAAACCTTCTTATTTGGAATGTGTCTTAAAGATCGCAACAGATTAGCAGTTACTACCCAGACAGGGTATTTAGCCAGAACGACTCTGTTACAGTTCGCAGAGACTGCTCACCAGATACTGTACACTACTTCCACACATACACATCATGCAATTGAGATGCTTGACGATGTAACTTTTAAAATATTACATTTTTCCTTTGTTTTGACATGTGCAATGACAGTATTCAGGGAAGAATGCAGCAGATTCAGAACGGAGCGGTCCTTTTATTTTAAAAAAAAATCACTGGTATATTTACATATGGGTAACCTCTGAACTACATGGAGAGAGAGAGAGTTCTGTTCTCAGACAAAAATAAACCAAATCAAATTTAATGAAATAGTAGTTAAGCTACAGTAACATAGCTACGATGTTTCATGAGTTCATATCTGTTCGGCTGCACAGGACAGTGAAAGTGTTTAACCTGACCTTGCTCCAGGCATTGTACAGTTAGCGTGTTTGATACAGAAGCTTTGTCTATATAAACAAATAGAAATTCCAGCAACACAAAACTTCATTTATTCATAGACAGTTATATACAGTACTGTATGTTTACCTACTTTTAAACAGATGTCTGAAATCCCTTTTAAAATAACCCCAAAATGTGTTATTCAAGGCCAATGGTTTTTACTGTAAATCCTAGGTATAAAATATAAGCCACGGACAGAAATATGATCTCTTAATATTACCTCATAAATTCATAATATTTGCAGGAAATACTGTATAGCAAAACTTGATAAAAAAACTTGAGAATTCACATCGAAGCGCTTCCTTTTGAGATACTGTAACCAATCACTATCATTTTGGTTTTCAGTACTATAACAATAGTTATAAATTGTTTTATAAACTGAAATGTTCCTCAACCGAATGCCAGCTATTATGCATCACAAAAAAATAATAAGGTGCAAGTCTTTAATAAAGAGCAAATATAACGTAACCATTATTTTATTTATATGTAAACGGATTTCCCTTTAATCAAAACAAATCTAAGCTTTATTACAAAACTAGATTCACATTCAGATTTGGAATTTCGCTCCAACCACAAAACGCGAAGAGTAATTAAATTAAATAACTAAAAGTGAAAATAAACATTTCCCTACTGTTGTTCAGCCTCGCCACCGCAGGACCTTACATAAATTCCATAAAACAACGGAAATACGTGGAGAATATTGAGATCTACGTGCGCAATGGTTTATCTAGGGAATGACAGGTCTATTTTAAGGGAAAGACGCGGTCACGACCGGCAGGAGCCCTTCCAGAAGAAGTCATCAAGACAGAACCGCTATCAGCCTCCCTTTCTCTGGCAGGGAGAGTGGAGACCGTGAAGCCCCTCTCTTGTTTTCGTGCGTCACGTCAGCGCAGCCGAGCTGCGCCCCGATTGGAGGAGCTGTCGCAGCGCTGCGCTCCCATTGGCTATTTGCGGGCTGCACGTGAAGAGAGGAGCAGCGAGGCTCTGATATGCTGTTGGGTCTCGCCGAGCTGAGTGCCAGTGGGGTTGAGCTGTGCGACGGAGAGGGGGGCGTGTTGATCCATGTTACTTTCCACGCTGGTCTTTTTCTTTTTTTTTTTTAAAGAAGAAAATATAACTGTTAAATAAAGGCATCCGATTTCGTAGCTGCAACCACTTCATGCATTGGAGTTTAGGCTGTTGTAACACCTTCCGATGAATTGCACCAGGTAGGAAAGTTAACTGCGACACCGCCTTACGTTTTTGACATGGAGATAGCCGACTAACGGTAGGTGCAGATGTTGTATGTTTCTATGATACACAGAGAAAAAAGACGAAATTGCTTAATGTTTACACTTCTCGAACGTCCTTTCAACTGTAGCTCTATAGAATATTACGTGGCAATGCACTTAACACTTTCTTTTCCGGTAACTTCTGGTGTGCAGGGATGTACCAGTAAACCTCAGAAGTCTCCTTAAATGGTCTAGTTTGTGTTAAGCAATGCAGTTTGCGTCTAAAAAAGATTAGTTTAAACCGTGCAAAATATTATTTATGCAGGTGAGACGACGAAATCAACGGTAACGTAGCTGCACTCGCTCTCGGGTGCTTAGTGAGTAGAAGTTTACAGTGCTTACTATTAAAATAGCACAGGCGGTGTCATTTGCGATTGCCTTTATCTTTCTCTTGTAATATTCAGATCTCGGCAGTAAACGATTTTTCTTCCTGACCTTGTCGCTGATATTTTAACATTGCATTGAAAGTTATTTTCTAAGCTATTTACAATGCTTCTAACAGTTCCAGTTATTTCTTTGTATCCTGTTTGTGAAAGGGTTTACATTTATGCTTAAAAAACGTCTTTTAATATCTAGGTAAGTACATTTTATGCCTAAAAAGACGAGTGAGGTCTTCCGTATGTGTAATCAGGGAATACAGAATGTAATGATGAAAATTAAGTAATCTGATAAAATGAAGAACTTTCCTCAAGAATTCTACCAGAGGAGTCTCTCCTGCCAACAATAAAAAAAACAATCTGAAATGTATTTTTTTATTTGCTCTGTAATATTTCCTACATTTTAGAACCCGACATTTTTTTACCTTTTACTTTTTTTTTTACTTTCCTGCATGCCCTCAGCTATGTCCCTGTGCTCTAAATTAAAAAATAATAATATTTTAGTTATACTTTATTATACTGTAGATCTCATGTTGAATGCATTTAAAGCTGCCAATTCTAGGTCCCAGATAATTTTGAAATGGCTGCACCAAGCTGGAACTTGTTTTGTATTTCTGTTGCAGACTGTGCTTCATCTGATACTTTTTTTTCCATTTCTTGTCTGTTTAGGGTCCTTCACATCCTGAACCCCAGACCGCTCCCGGGCCCGATCATGCCAGTAGACGTAGCCATGAGGATCTGCCTGGCACATTCCCCTCCGCTGAGGGGCTTCCTGAGCTCTTACGACGACTGCAGAGGGAGAAGCTTGGGGAGCAGATACAAACCGCTGAGACCCTGTATCAGCTCGAAGCAAGAGCCACAGGCAGCCAGCCTGGAGTGGAAGAGTCCCAAGGCCAAGGCCAAAAAGCGCGTGGTGTTCGCGGACTCGAAAGGCCTGGCGCTCACCGCGGTGCACGTGTTCTCGGAGTTCGAAGAGGACGCCATGCAGGAGCTGCAGTTCGATCTGGCCGACCTGGAAGATGCCGCGGCGGGTCTGAAGCTGGGCAAGGAGAGCAGCTTGGCTCTGGATTTCCTGCAGCCCTCCGCTGACTACCTGGATTTCCGGAACCGGCTGAAGAAGAATTTTGTGTGTCTCGAAAATTGCTCTCTCCAGGAGAGGTCGCTGGCGGGCACCGTGAAGGTGAGAAACGTAAGTTACGAGAAATCTGTCCACATACGCATTACCTTTGACACGTGGAAAGGCTACACGGACGTCGAGTGTACCTTTCTGAACAATGTTTACGGCTGCTCGGACACCGATACCTTTTCCTTTGTCATTGATCTGCCCGACTACGTGCCCCCTCATGAGCGAGTTGAATTCTGCGTCTCTTTCACAAGCCGAGACCAGACTTACTGGGACAATAATGATGGAAAGAACTATAGGCTGGTCTTCACCGAGTGGAAATGTGATGGTGTTCAGGCCCCTCCTTCTAACCGGAATAAAACTTCGGATTATAAAAGCCATGGCAGTCTGCAGGAGATGGAGTTTGATCAGTTCGGCAGTCCTCGAACATCGAGTGGACTCTTCCCTGAGTGGCAGAGCTGGGGCCAAATCGAGAACACCGCCCCCTATTGGTGACTTCCAGACTCACTTAGAAAAATGCACAGGAGCTCTGATTTCCTTAAGCAGTGCTAGAGCTGTGGGGGAAGAAATGTCTTTAGAAAGCTTGGAGACTAATCATTTATACTCTACATGGGCCCAGAGTCAAAAGTTGGAAGCACTGCTTTTTTAAAAGGATCTGCTACAGTAGAACAGAGGGACCATCCTAGTCTTTTGCTTCTTCCTTAGATTTGGCAAAGACTGTCTTCAGCATTGTGAGCTTTAGGATGTAAATCCTGGTTAAACATTTTTGCTAATCCAAAAATGGAGAGGTCCAAATGGGAGTGTACATGTGTATATTATTTGTGTGCATTTTGGGATGAGGGTAATGCTACTGACTCAACTTATTATTAAATACAGTGCCTCAGCATTGCGCTCTTAGAATTTCTGTAGTCATGCTTTTCTAATGTGGTTACATCCCAAATCACTTTGGGCAACAGACATAATCATTACAATTAAGAAGTGTGGACAAGCCTTCATGTTTTGTTGATGAGATTTATGAAATCAGAATCAGAAATCAGTAATCAGAACTACACGTTGAACACTAAAAAGCATCTGGCTGTGGTACTGATGATTTGTGTAGGGCTCAGAAACACTGCTTGGACAGTGTAGAAAAGATATGATTAAAGTAAGTAACACTTTTTGACATTTAATGTTTAAGTCTCTTCCTTCTGGTCACTTTTCATTGGTTGGAATATGAGCTTTGAGATTTAAATTTACTGTTTATTGCCTCATAGAGGCATGGAGGAGATAAAATGAAGTACTGAAATGTTACTAGCCCTACCAAAATAGTGACTTTTACATTGAAGGATGCAGTTTATTTGTCCATTGTGAATATTTTAGTGTACTTAAATACTTGCTTAAGTTTTTTTTCAGATGTCCTGAAATTTATTTTCAGATTCAAATTTAAGATGTTTGATCCCTGATATTCAAATTGAAATGCACTTTTGCAACTCCAGAAATCATAAAGTAATATTACTAGATCACAACACTAGTCTATTAAGACTTGAATTGTATAGACTATGTTGATACTTCAGATATCACTAGCAAAGACAGAAGAAACAGTCTTTGAGAAAATGAAAAAGGTGTGATTTTTTTTTTACACTTCAGATTTTTGTGTAGGGAAGTGCCTTTTGCTGCTGTTGGATTCCAAAATGCTGTGTCTTGACAGATCTACGATCAATGCATCCATTTGAACTAAGCCTAAAAATGCACTTCTTAATTAGTTTTATTAATAATTATTATAGTAATTGCCACCACTTGTTTTATGTTTTATTCACCACCTGAATGTCATGCTGTTCTAAATTCAGTGTTGAACAGTTTGCACTGACTGAAAGAAGAAGCCTTTGAAATCTGTTAATGTGAGAGTGTTTTAACTGGTACAAAGATGAAGTCCTTCATATTGAAGGTGTTTAATGTCACGGTACCTTCCAACTAACTACTTTCAGAAAAGAGATGGTGACTACCCAGTAAACAATTAGGCTAGATATGAGTAACATGTCTTCCTTTCTTGCACATATTGTACATGTCGCCTGTATTTTGTATAACTTTTTTGAAAGATTATACTGCATAAGCAAGTAATACACCTAGTGAGTTTCTTGTCTATATAATATTTTTGCTGCTATGTTCGTTATATGTGCTGCTTTTCTCTGTGCTGCCTTCATGAAGTCCGTGCTGTATGATTTATAGCATATTCTCCTGTGTGACATGGAGGGGTGATATTAGAACTGAGGTGGGATGTTATTTATGAGGTGTCTGAGTAAGTAAAGAATTTGGGAAAGAGTTTGTGGATGAAAAGGCCTGAAGGGAAGTGTGTGATAATGGACCTGTGTTGCCTTTATTTGTGTTTTTGTTTTATTTCTTCCGTTTTAAGAAATACAGGTCATTGTTGTTGACAGAGGTGTAGGTGCCTGATTTGTTTTCAGAACGTTTGTGCTGTCTGAGCTACTGTTTTTGTTTTCCAGAAGTGCAATGTCGAGGTGAGTGTTGAGGGGTGAAGCATCGATTGTATGTGTCTGACACCCAAATATTTTTCTACTGTAAAATATTGATGTGACAGAGCTGTTCTATCTCCTATGTTCCTTTTAGAAATAAATTTTTATATTATGTAAGGATCTTGGATATGCTGTTGTGTTTCCATTTAAACTGTCATTAACTGTTAGAATGAGCAGAATCATGAGAAAAGTGAACCCTACATTTTCCATCATGTAAAAAGGGGAGTTTTCTTTCCAAAACAGTTCTTGGATATCTGGAAAGGTAAATGTCTAAAGCAATTGTTTTAACAAAAAAGGAAAAGGCTGTACTGTAATTAGAAAGCTTGTTGAAAAAATAAATGCATTATTTAGGATATTTTGGTGTATTATATTTGAGAAAATTAGTTTGACCTAAAAAAAGTCCAGGTGGTAATTCAATCATCTATCGCTAAAAATCTATCCCCTTGGAAGGATTACACCCGGGACAGGATCTATGATTTCTGACTATTCTTGGAGTGACAGTCAGGTTTTTATCCCTACATTGAAATAGTTAAAAGCATAACAATTGAAACAAAACTTGCACATCAGTCTTTCCAGTTTATAGAAGCACTGCAGCACACTGCTGTAGATCAAAAAGCAAGCTATTAAAAGATAAAAGCCTGGTTCTTTTTGGAAACTGTGAAAGCTATAATGACGCTACTGTATGATGTGAAAGCTATAACTTTCACAGAAAGATAAAATAAGAAAGCTGAGTGAAATAATGCAACCAGCTCCTTATCAATTTAGAAATTTCAGAGGAATAACAGGACAGGGGGTCTAGAGGGTGGCATTCATCTCTGCATCTTCTTATTAAATGCCTTGTACTTGGGGAACATGTGAATTAGATATTCGCAAGAGACCCATGATGTTAAATCAAGGCTATAAGCTTTGTGCAGTCAAGAGGAACCCTGCCTAATTAATCACCTATTTAACCCAAATAGGCAGCCATGAAAAAGAAAGAAATAGTGTTATTTCCAGGAGGTTGTGCTTGTCTCCCATGCAGTCACTACATCATCTTAAAATAAATCGTAAAAGAGTAAAGGATATTACACTTACCAGTGGTCTTACTAACTAAAGTTGCACTGGAGAAATATGGTACTGTAGTATTGAGAAGTGCACTGTAATACTGAGTTACTGCTCACTGCCCATTGATATCCATTCTAACTTACATTGGAGTTAGAAATGGACACAAGCCGAGGACGCTGCTAGACTGCTTTTATCGGCAGTGTTTTGAACAAGTCAGTCGCTGTTTACAGAGTAAATGTGCATGGTTATTTGAAGTGTATCATTGGGGTTTTTTTTAAAGATTTTGACTGCGTTGCATTTACGTAATGTGAGAGAGAGAATGGCTTGCCTTCTAAGTCCTTTAAATAGGATTCGGACATGAGATGCCAGGTATGTGGTGTGTAAACTGAAATCCTTAAGCAACAATGGAATTATAGAGTATTAGATGCTTACAGTGTCTGCCCTTTTCACCTCGAAATTATACGGAGATATAAGGTACATTATTGGTATCACACATTTTCAGTAACTGTGTTGTTAGGATTGCAATAGATATTAAACTACAAATCACGTAATGCACAATAACAGTTCTTAAAACATTAATACAACATCACTTTGAAAACTATTGCTTACCCCCAGTATTATAATATACCAACGATGGAATGCAACATGCAAAATATATGGATGCAGTCAAACTTTTTAAACATTATTAATAAAATAACACGGCGTGAACAAAAATAGGTCAGAGAACCATCATGCGTTTTTCCGAATGAAATGTGTTACAATGTCAAAATAAACACTTTTAAGTTATTATGGGGTACGACCTTCCTGAGCATTAATACAATCCTGGCAGAGCTGATGCACAGACCGCATCAGCCTCTGGACAATGCTGTGGGAAGGTTGGTTAGTTGGAGTTATGTCCTGTTGATGTCTTTGTAGAACTGGTCCCACAGATGCTCTATTGCAATATTTCTCAGTGTTGTGTACTATAACCTTAAGTAACATTACGGATTCAACAGTATTTTTGCTATGGACTGCATTTTAGCCTAAATTCTCATAGGAGGAGGGCCTCAGGAAATTGGTCCTTGGTACAAAAGAAACATTGAGAAACACTGTTCAGTTGGACTCAGATTAGTGAGAAAACAGTGGATTGGGAAAAACCTCAACGTTGGTTTCTTGAATATGTGATAATCCGGTCTCAATTCTGAGCACTGTGTGATCCAACATTGTCTTTTCGTGTTGGTCTGCAGGAATTGTAAATCCATTGCCTCATGGGCTTTGTCAGTATGTCACTGAGCAATAAAGTCACACTTAGCCTGCACCAAGGGAGTTCTTGTGTTAAAGAAGAGATCCCTCCCCAATAATAATAATTCCTCTTTTGCACACTCTCTGGTCCACAGAAGGCTGCTATTTCTTTTCTCAGACATCAGCATAACCTCCAAACATTTTAACGTAGCGATCTGCAGTCATTCTGCTGACACTGCTGACGCTGATTCACCAATTCTTCCTTGTTTTCTTGCTGTAGCCACTGTAGTCTATAAATTATTAAGTGGACAACTTGAAGCCTTTTTCCGCACTTTAGAAACTGGAGATTTAAAGTGACTTATGAAGGCTCTCTCTTAAAGTCAGTTTCTTGTTTCTCTGGACTAGTCTTGTGACTGTTGAAGAACGTCTCGTTCTCTGGGTATCTTCCTTCACAAATGTTTTCATGTGCTTTGCAAAGGGTTCTAGGGAGCACTGCATATCGGCAGAGCAGTTTAGCTTATGTTTTAGGAATACAATTCAGATAACATATAGAGTCATTGCAAAAATAGTCTTGTTTTAGGTTTGAACTTGTTGATGTAGGCTCAAATAACTGGACCCATTTTATATAACGAAACGTGACAGGAGTAGCACGTGTCCAGAATGAATCTATCAAACATTTATTGACTACTAACAACAGTGCACAAGGAATGCCTGTGCTAACAGCCTTCACTAACAAACCAGCTAGACTGCAAAGATTTTGTCTCGGAAGGATACAAAGGTAACAATAGAAAACAGTGTGTAATTTTAAAGGTACTATTCTCAGGTAAAGGTCCTACTTGCAGGTAATACTCCACATTTTAGAGAAAATAATTTAAAATTAAGGTTTATTGCAAACAGTGGCCAGTTAGTCAATGCCAAGTGCCTGTAAATAAAAAAGCCAGTGGAATTCTGGAGAATCTATTGCCCAACCTACTGACTAACATTTTATTTAGTCTCCGCTGCAAAATAATTTGGAAGAATTACAGTTCCATTTTCTGTTTATGGTGCTTGAATGTGACTGATTGGGCTGTCTCTGGATTGGCAGTGAAAGATTGATGGTCTGCAGCAGTGCTGGGAGATTGTGACTGAGAAAAGATGAGCTGACAGGTATGGTTGCACCATGGGCTTCTTGTTCTTGAAACACAGAATGTTTGCTTTGCTGGTATAAAGGCTTCACACATTTCCATTCGGAATGGAGTAGTTGTATGTAATGTGAGTGGAGGACAGTTAATGTGAAAATATGTCATTCTGAGACACTGTCACAGAAAACGTACTGTAGATGCTAATTCCCACAGGTTGTGATGAGTAGGAGTTTAAATAGATGTGATGCTTTTTGCAGATTTAGTTGCACAGTAAAGTTGTGTCCTCAAGGTACGGTAGCTCTTTCCTGTATTAGGAAAGGAAAAATCCTGATAGAATATTTGTTGTTGTTTTGCCTAGTTCTTTACATCTCTGAGCTTTTTTGTCTCTGTGGAAAGGGAAACACCTACATGTTGTTAATTTATGACTGGATACAAAGGAGGGAGGACCAGGGGAATTTCAAGTCTTTTTAATACACTCACATGATCAAGCAGCTGATATAGCAGCTATTAACAGTGTTCTGTATGATTCTAAACTCTTTTATCTTGCCTTTTCCATTTAAACAACCTGCACTATTTTAAAGTGAAAATTTCCTCAGGCACAGCTGCTACTAGTTAAACTTCCCAGGCACTAATATATGATAAAATAATGTAACCTTTAACTTTTACAACATGTTTTTTAGACTTTTTCTGAATTTCCACCAGAAGTATGGTGCTGTGCCATCCATATAAATAATTTTTTAAAGAAGAGCATTGTGTATACTTCTGAATTGCACCCAGTTCTCCACAGACCTTCAACAGGGACCATTAAATGTCATAAAGAGCACCTTCTGCACAACGTGGCACTGAAACCTGCTCAGTCAGTTCTTTCACCTTCAGAAAATATTCTTTATTAGCTTCTGTTAGAGGTGTTCACTGTTGCCCGAGCAATATGGTTTAAAGTGTATTTGGGTAAGACGTACTGCAGAATCACAGAACATCTCATGTTAGTAAGTTTAATTTGGTATGAACTTGTTCAAGAGCCTCATGATACAATAAGAAATGGGGAATTTCACCTGGTCATGTACCACAGCTCTTTCGGAACACTGTAGTTTCACTCAGCAGTCAACCAGCCTCTCAAGTGGGCTGTGGAAATGAGAAGTATTCTCTTTTAATACTGTGTAGCAAATCTTCATTTACCCTTCTATATCTTTTATAAAGCCTTAGAAACTTAGAAAGTGCTTCATAGAGGCTATTGAATTGATTTCCAAAGGACTGAGTGAAGGTGAATGTGGTGGAAAACAAGAACTGATAAGAGATCGGTGTTCATGAACCTTTAAATCTATTGTGTTAAACTGAACTACTGTACTAATATCACAGGAGCTTATTGTATCATCCGTTCCTCTTTTAATGCAAAGGGAGAGAAAAGCAAGACAGGCACAGAGCCACATACTGTAGACAGTCTCTTTCAAGCCTTGCGTTGCAATTATTTTCAAATTTTCTAAAAGGCAGCATCCAGAATAAATTTGATGTGGTGAAGATGTATCGCAATATTTTATACACTTTATTATTGGAAGCACATTTTTCCATATTAATCTCGACCCTCATTCTTTTTAACCTGACATTCACCTTTTCAGAGACGTTAATCTCATCTGAACAATCACTACTGTACGTAGAAAAGCCCATGGTTTGCGTGTGATTAAATAACTAGGTTTGTTTGGGTTTCAAAAGCTGGGAAAGATTCTTTTGTTAGTCTGG